GAATGGGAATGGGTACATGGAAATGGGGATGGGAATGGTTACATGGGAATGAGGGAAACTGGGAATGGGTACATGGGAATGAGGGAAACTGGGAACGGGAATGGGAATGAGGGAACTGGGAATGGGRATGGGAACAGGTAAATGGGAATGAGGGAAACTATTAATGGGAACGGGTAAATGGGAATGAGGGAACTGGGAATGGGAATGAGGGAACTGGAAATGGGGATGGGAACAGGTAAATGGGAATGAGGGAACTGGGAATGGGAATGAGGGAACTGGAAATGGGGATGGGAACAGGTAAATGGGAATGAGGGAATTGGGAATGGGAATGAGGGAACTGGGAATGAGAATGGGAATGAGGGAACTGGGAATGAGAATGGGAATGAGGGAACTGGGAATGAGAATGGGAACGAGGGAATTGGGAATGGGAATGGAAATGAGGGAATTGGGAATGGGAATGGGTTCATGGGAATGAGGGAACTGGGAATGGGGATGGGAACAGGTAAATGGGAATGAGGGAAACTATTAATGGGAACGGGTAAATGGGAATGAGGGAAACTGGGAATGGGAATGAGGGAACTGGGAATGGGGATGGGAATGAGTAAATGGGAATGAGGGAATTGGGAATGGGGATGGGAACAGATAAATGGGAATGAGGGAAACTGGGAATGGGAATGGGTAAACGGGAATGAAGGAATTGGGAATGGGAATGAGGAAACTGGGAATGGGAATGAGGGAATTGGGAATGGGGATGGGAATGGGTTCATGGGAATGAGGGAACTGGGAATGGGGATGGGAACGGGTAAATGGGAATGAGGGAAACTGGGAATGGAAATGAGGGAACTGGGAATGGGGATGGAAATGGGTACATGGGAATGAGGGAAACTAGGAACAGGTACATGGGAATGAGGGAATGGGTACATGGCAATGAGGGAATTGGGAAGGGAAATGAGGGAACTGGGAACAGAAATGGGTAAAGAGGAATGGGAACAGGTACATGGGAATGAGGGAACTGGGAACGGGAATGGGTAAATGGGAATGAGCGAACTGGGAATGGGGATGGGAACAGGAATGGGTAAATGGGAATGGGAACGGGTGAATGGGAATGAGGGAACTGGGAATGGGAATGGGCAAATGGGAATGAGGGAGCTGGGAAGGGAAATGGATAAATGGGGATGAATGGAAATTGGGAGTGGGAGAATTGGGGATGGCAGAGGGCAAATGTGGGCATTGGSAGTGGGAACAAGGGAATGGAGATGAATAGGAATTGGGAAGGGGTTTGGGCAGATGGGAAATTGGGAATGGGAATAAGGGAATGGGGGAATTGAGAATGGGCAAATGGGGGCAAACAGGAAAAAGGAATGGTCCAACTGCAGCATTGGGAGTGAGGGGCTGGGCCTCACCTTGTGGGAGAAGCCGCTCATGAGGACRCTGTTGCGGGCCAGCTCACACATGTCACACGAGCTGAGCTTCCACACCTGCGTGGCGATGCTRTATTCCTCCATCAGCGGCTCCTAGGAACAGACAGCCCTCAGCTCCYGTCACAGRCACCCCCAGGCAGGACAGAKGTCCCCACCCACCTCCYCCCATGCCTTCCACACCATCAGCATCCTCCAGAGTCCACTGGTGCTGCCTCCAGCCCCATCTGACCACCAGCCCCATCTCACCACTAGCCACATGGCATCACCAATCCTACCCCATCACTGACTCCACCCCATCACCCGACCCATGCCCACCCCACAGCCATTCTTGGGGGGTCACTGGGTGCTCCCAATGCCTACCTTGGTGAAGTGGAACTGGAGAGGGTCGTCRGTGGAGAGGGAGACCATGAGCCCCCGCGAGAGGTACTCGGGCAGGGGGTTGCGGTGGTAGCTCAGGAAGAGGCTGTTGTTGCTCAGCGGGGACATGGCGATGCCAATCTGTGCCAGGTAGTACAGGTACTGCAGCACCGGGGCCTGGGGGGCACAGTGGGGTGAGCGGGATCCCACCGCACCCCCAGCATCCACAGCACCCCCAGGTGCCCCCTCCCCACTCACTTTGCGCAGCAACAACCCATGGGAGATGTTCTCTGARACCATGAACCCCGAGACAAGGTGGTGGATGGGACCGGCCTCRCCACAGTGCGGGCGCAGGACGAAGGTGTGGAAGCCCCTCTTCCTGCAACGGGGGATTGACCATCACCATGACCCTCTGACCCCCCAGACCCTCGAGAGGGGCGCAGGGTCGGGCCAGAGCTGTCCTTACCGCCGCAGGTGGTTGAGCACTGTCATGTTGGCATACATRTAGTACAGGTAGTAGGAGTAGGGCGGGTTGTCCTCCTCCACCCAGTTGCCCGGCAAAGGGCTGTCCAGGTTGAAGATGTGATGCTCCGGTTTGGATTCATCATCCACGCTGTCGAAGCCATCCACCTGCAGGAGGGACAGTGCCGGGGTGGGATGTCACCCCTTGCTCCGGTTGGGGTGTCCCCAGGAGCGGGAGGTGGCACTCACGTGCTCCAGGAAGAGGTGCAGCTCTGGGTGCTGRGCAGGGTGGACCGTGGCCTCAAAGAGCGGCAGGAAGATGTTCTCCAGCATCTCCTGGAAGTTGGCCAGCTGCTTCTTCGTCCGGTAGATGTCACTGCAGGGAATGGACCCCACTCTGAGCCGCTTTCCCCCGTCCCCACCCAACCCCAGCCAGCAGTGGGGTGTCCTGGGTCTCCCCAACCCCACTGAGGGTTCCTGTGCCCCCTTTACTCACAAGAGCCGRGGCACCTGCACGAGCCAGCGGACATTGTTGGAGTGGACGCGGTGGCTGACGGCCCAGCGGGCCAGCTTGTCCCACTCGTCCCGGGAGCGGCCATAGATGGAGAGACGCAGCTCYGCGTTCTGGTACTTGCTCTCCTCGAGATCCGCCATCACCTCCTGATGAAAAGGGACAAGCGACGAGTGTCACTGCTCGGCCAYCAGGAGGGGACAATGGGTGGCACTGCCATGAGGAGGAGAGGTGACGCACCTTGATGATATGGGCAAAGTACTTCCCAGAGACWCGGTTGTCGGTCTTGATAAAGATCTCCCGCAGGATGGACTCCCCGATGGGGTTGTACTTGGCGTTGAACTTGTCGAAGCGGTGGAAGGTGTTGCGATCCTGAACATGTGACAGGTGTGAGCTGAGACCCCTCATCTCCAACCACACCCCACCCACAGCTCCCAGCAACACCCAGGAAACCCCCTGGAGAAGATCCCACACCCCAGGATGGGCTGGGGGCTGCACCCATCCCCAGGGTTTGGGGTGCRTCCCGTACCGCATGGACATCCAGCGTGTCCACGCTCAGGTCGTAGGCTGTGAGGTTCATCGTTTCAAACACCTCCTTGAGCGTCTGCTCCTTGCCCTTCTCCACGTGGACGATTTCATCCAGGTGCTTCTTCATCGCCCGCTTGATGAAGCGCAGGAGATGCTTCTGGTTCATGCAGGACGAGGCRTGGATGTGGGTGTCCACCTGCACCAGCGAGGTGATGCTCAGCCCTGAGACCCTCCAAGAGCTCCCCAGTGGAACCAGCAACCCCCCCAGGATCCAGGAGAGCCCGGGACCCACGGGCACCTTGCGGATGTTGTAGAAGTCGCGGTGCGGGACCTTCTTCTGGGCTGCCAACTCCTTCATCTCGTTGAGCAGCACGTGCATCTGGAACTTGTTGCTCAGGTACTGCAGCCGGCGGTAGCAGAAGGATTTGCTGCCCAAAATGGGGGAGGAGGGCTCAGTTTGGGGGTGAGGAGGGAGAACATCCAGCCCGAAAGGCTGGTGTGGGGTATGGGAACATGGACTCTCAGACAYGGGCGAGGGTGGAGGCGGGAGCTGCACCAGCACCGCGTGTCAGAGCCACTGCCGTGTCCTCAGGGCTGTCCCCAGGGGTCTGTYCCACCCCCACCGTGGGATCCCCCCCAGGGTGGGACCCTTCCCCTTACATGGGCCCATTGATGATCAAAGCCATGAGGAAATTCATGTCGGCGATAAACTCCTGCAGGTCGGGGTACGGCAGGTCCAGCTCCGTGCTCCTAGGGGGTACACATGTGAGGGTCATACAGCCTCCCCAAAAAACTCCTCCTCTCACTGAGCAGGACCCTCCCCCTCACAAAACTCACTTGTCGGTGACCTCCTGCTTAGTGTAGACATGCACGACACCACCCACCATCTTCAGCCCGAAGCCCAGGTCGGCTGGCATGTTCTGGGGGTCCCACTTCTCATAGGGGTGCTGCTCGGCAAACGGGGGGTGCACGGGGGCATCTGCAGCCAGGAKACAGCCAACATCATCCCAAAAGCTCCTCCAGCACCCAGTCCAGCACAGAGACCCCCCACACGGTGCTCACCAGCAGCCACGGGGGTCTCGGGCACCTCCTCGTAGCCGCGGGTCTCCAGGGGCTTCTCGGAGAGCTCCTGCAGGTAGCGGGCTGTGGTTTTGCAGAAGCTCTGCAGGGACAGCCCCATGTACTTCTCCCGCACGAACAGYGCCTTCACCACGCTCTTGGCCGCGTCCAGCAGGTCGGTGAAGGGCACCTGGAGAGGGGATATCAACAAAAAAACGCCCCCGAGCTGGGGTTGGCAGCCTGGAGACACTCAGCCGGGTTCCGGGGGGATCAGGGGGAGGCTCACCCCGCATTTCTCCTCCCCGGAGATGGTGACCCGCTGGAATTCCCGCTCCAGCAGCGCCTCCCGCTCCTTGGGGACRTGGTCCACCAGGTCATCATTCTGCTCCTTGAAGAGCCTGTGGGGACAGACGTGGCCAGTGGGACCATGACAGGTGTGTCCCCATCCCCACGTCCCCAACAACAGCACGAGCCCCACCCCAGAGACTGTGTCCGGCCCCAGGGTGGCAGGAAGGTAATGCTGTCCCCAGGGATGCCACCACCAGCTGTGCCACCCGTGTCCCCTTTGGAGGTGGCATTGTCCCCCTTCCCAAAACACACCCCCCAGCCCCACATCAGCRCAATGAAAAGTGGGGGGAGTGGGGGGCACAAAGAACAAAAAAACTCATGACAGAGACAACTCCCAAGCGGAGACAGGAGGGAGGGGGACACACAGCGTCAGAYCCCCCATCCAGGGGAACACAGCGCCAGGACAGGGGTCCTGTGCCACCAGCAGAGCTGGGACCCCCAGCTCACCCCAACCCCCCTCCCTGGGTGCATCGACTCCTTCAGTGCCAGCGAGAGCGGCCGGGAGGGACCTCTTGGCTCCGTGCTTGGGGGTGCTGGGTCAGAGCAGGGCCGGGTGGGTCCCCGATCCCTCCCGTGTCCCCGGCCGGTGACACCGAGCCGGACACTCACTGTAAGTCCGCGGCACTGTCAATTTTCAGGAAGTCCTGTTTGGCTCTGAGCAAAATGTCGGGCTCAAGTCTGGGGACAAGGAGGCGGCGGTGGAGGGGGGGGACAGCCGGGGGGGACGAGGGGGAGAGAAATGGGGGGGCCAGGGAGAGAAAACACCCTATTAATGCCGGAACAACAGAAACCAGACAGAAACCAGCCAAAAACTCACTGCAAAGGGGACACCAAGTGCGACACCCACGGGAGAGGGGACACAGAGCTGGCACAGAGGACCGACAGCCTCCTGGGGTGGGGAGGGGGTCTGGCCCCACGAGGGGCTCCCTTCCAGCGATTTGGGGGCACACGGGGGATCCCCCAGGCTTACTTGACGTCCTGGCTGATCTGGCGCTCCAGGCGCTGGCGCCGCTCCTCCAGCTGCTCGATGGGGCTCTCCTCGGGGAACTCRTAGGGAGCCGTCCGCATCTCGTTCTCGGCCAGCGAGCGGCAGAACAGCTCCTGTCCGAGCATCCCTGTCACCAGCTGGGCCCGGCCTCAGCCCTGCCATCAGCAGAGCCCAGAGCATCCCTGCCATGAGCTGGGCCTGGACCATTCCTGCCATGAGCTGGGCCTGGACCATTCCTGCCATGAGCTGTGCCCAGATCACCCCTGCCATGAACTGTGCCCGGCCTCAGCCCTGCCATCAGTGGGGCCCAGAGCATCCCTGCCCTGAGCTGAGCTTGGAGCATCCCTGTCATGAGCTGGGCCTGACCTTGTCTCTGCCCTGAGCTGGACCTGGACCATTCCTGCCATGAGCTGTGCCCCGTGTCAGCTTTGCCAGTGCCAGAGAAGTTCCTCCCCGGACCATCCCTGCCATGAGCTGTGCCCAGACCATCCCTTCCATGAGCTGTGCCCAGCCACATCCCTGCCCTGAGCTGGGCCTGGACTATTCCTGCCATGAGCTGCGCCCAGATCATCCCTGACATGACTGTGCCCAGCCTCTCTCCTGCCATGAGCTGTGCCCAGCCTCATCCCTGCCCTGAGCTGGGCCTGGAGCATTCCTGCCATGAGCTGTGCCCTGTGTCAGCCTTGCCAGTGCCAGAAAAGTTCCTGCCTGGACCATTTCTGCCATGAGCTGTGCCCAGATCATCCCTGCCATGAGCTGTGCCCAGCCACATCCCTGCCCTGAGCTGGGCCCAGCCTCAGCCCTGCCCTGAGCTCTGACTGGACCATCCCTGCCATGAGCTGTGCCCAGTGTCAGCCTTGCCAGTGCCAGAAAAGTTCCTGYCTGGAACATGTCTGCCATGAGCTGTGCCTGGCCCCAGCCCGCTGTGCAGSGGGAGAGAAAGGCTCACAGGGATTCCCACACTCAGAGCTGGCAAAGTGGGAAGGGAGGAAGGTTTGGGGAGGACAGGAGTGGGAAGGATGGAGGGGAGACCCCCCCAGAACACACCCACCCTCCCAGAGCCGGCCAAGCTGGCCCAGCACCCACCTCAGCRATCTCCTTGTATTTGCCATCCATGGACGTGCGCAGATCCACCGGGAAATGCTTCAGGCTATGGGGGGTCCCCGGCAGGGAGCGGGCTGACTGCAGGGGTCGGGCCCCAAGCCCCCCCCGCAGCTCTGCAGGGAGCAAGACAGAGTCAGCTGGGGGGGTCCGGACCCCCACCCGGGCAGGAAGGGGTTAATCAGCCACGGCTCCCCCTCCCCACCATGGAACTGGGATGCTCTTCCCAATGGGGGTGAAGGGGAAACTGAGGAAACTCAAGGGAAAGAGGGAACCCCCCCCCCCCAATCGCCCTGGGGCACTGAGAGGGCTGCTGCTCCACCGGGGGGTGTAAGGAGCCAACAGTGAGTGAGGGGCGAGGGGCTGGGGGGCAGGACCCCCTGGCATGGGGGGCACAACACCGGGGTCCACTCCCTGTCCCCCCCATCCAATCCTTCCTGCTGCAGGGGGACACATCCCCAAACTGGGAGGGAGGGGCGGCAACATCCTCCCAGCCTAACACTCTCCACTGCCCCGACCCCCTGAGCACCCCCTGCTCCCCCAAGCACTGAGGCCATCGGGCTGGGGACACCCAGTGCCACCCCCTGCTCCCCCAGGCACTGGGGCTATCGGGCTGGGGACACCCAGTGCCACCCCCTGCTCCCCCAGGCACTGGGGCCATCGGGCTGGGGACACCCAGTGCCACCCCCTGCTCCCCAAGCACTGGGGCCATCGGGCTGGGGACACCCAGTGCCACCCCCTGCTCCCCAAGCACTGGGGCCAGCAGGCTGGGGACACCCAGTGCCACCCCCCCAAAGCCAACCCTGAACCCACCACAGACCTCACAGGGGGCACAACTGGAAACCAGGCCCTACTGGTTAAACTGGGCCACCAGTAAGAGCCTCCCACCCAGCACAGCCTGGGGGAAGRTTCAGGTCTCCTGACCCCAAAAAGGAGCCTCCACCCCCATGGGAATGGCGGGGGCTGGGCTGATGTCACTCAGGGCACGGATGGCACTGGTGTCATCGGGGTGTACTGGCAGTGCCTCACSTGGGCGTGGTGACACCCAGAGTGCCCTGTGCTGCTGGGACACGGCGTGCTACCCACGTGTGTGCCAGGTGGAAGCCCTGGTGGCACTGAGAACCTCCCCAGCACGGGTGCCAGACAAGTGACAACCCCCAGGTATCACCTCACCCACCCTGTGCCACCAYCACCCCGTGCCACCATCATCACCCTGTGCCACCCACCCAGGGCACATGTGGGTCACCCAGGGTCCGCAGCAGCCCTGGTGACACCCTGAGACCCCACAGAAATACTAGCCAGGTGACAACCCCAAAGCACCACCCCATACACTGTGTCACCACCATCACCCCAAAGTGCCACCATCACCCTGTGTCACCACAGTCACCCTGTGCCACCCACCTAGAACATACACATGCCACCCACGTGTGGGAGCAGCCCCAGTGACACCCTGAGACCCTCTCTCAACAGTGCCAGACAGGTGCCAACCCAAAGTGCCACCTTACCCACCCTGTGCCACCATCATCACCCACCCGGGACACATGAGGGCCACCCAGAGCTGGAATCAGCCCTGGTGACACCCCAAAACCACCCCCAGCACCAGTGCYAGCCAGGTGGCAACCCCAAAGCATTACCTCACCCACTCTGTGTCACAATCACCACCACCCTGTGCCGCCACCACCTTTTGCCACTGACCCAGAACATTCACGTGTGGGAAGGACCCCGGGGCCATCCCGAGTACCCCCAGCCGCGGTGCCAACCGGGTGCCACGTTGTCCGGCCCGTGTCGCCACCACCCCGTGCCAGCAGCCCCCCAAGTGCCACCCCGACCACCCCCTCGTTGCCACACGGAGCCTCTCCCCCCGCAAACCGGCCCCTCCGCCTCCCCCCGCATCCCCCAGC